GATATACCTTCCAAAAATCTAAAATATGAGCCAGTGGCAGGTGGCAGTTTCTAAATAAGCTCAGACTGTAAAATTGTCACCCCATATGAAGTAAAAATAAACCAGGAGCTTATCTTCTTATATGCATGATTCCTCCATTCTAAGCCGCTTACCCTAAGAATGAAGAACATAACACCACCGCACTGTCAGCATTCATTATTCCTGACTTTTTTTTTCTTTTGCCCAAAGCACCAAAGATTTTGGGCTCTAGCTTAAAAAAAGAGTAAAACCTGCTTTTTGTGATTTTTAAATCTCTAATTGAAATAGAGAAAATGAGTAAAGTGGTTAACACATACCAAAAGTGTTTGAGAAGCCAGCAAGAACTGATGAGTGTTATATGCACTCAAAGTTTTATTTAAAAGTCAGGCAACAGAACTTTTTTTGCTATTGATTGATCCATATCCTTGACTTCATGAAACACTTTTGATAATTGTGTTCTCATTAAGCAGGGTTGTTCAAAGGCCATAATTTTTATCACCATCTGTGACTGACTTCATAAGATTGTTGTTCTGTTTGACCCTCACACTTCTAAATCTCTTATAATACCTAATCAATATCATACACAAGGCATCCCTGTTTGCAGTTCTGGAAGCTTCAGTCCTGACATCATAAAGAAATGTGTTATGCTAGGATGCCATTCTGCTCTGTCATTCAGATGCTGCTTTCCTATGACACCATCAGCAATGCCACCACTTTTGCATGCATGTGATTGCCATAAACCATCACACACAGAGATCTTTCCCATGTACAGGGGTGAAGCAGCGATGGGCAATGCATGGGCCACGGGCAGCTTCCCCAAAATTCAGTAAAATCAGGAAAAAAACCCATAGGAAGAAAAATAGGAGCTATGAATTGTGCCAAATAGGTTAAAATGAAATTGGTTGCAAGGAAATATTGCCCCCTTTGGCACTCCATAACTGCCATTTATCTGCATCTAGGGAGGATGTTTATGTAGGATTACTAATTCTGGTAGATCAGTTAGCTGCCTTTTACAGCACAATCCTAAGGCTACTAAAACCTGACTAGTTAGCTATAGGATTTTTTTTCAAAGACCAGCTACCTGCTCAGAAAAACTTCTCCCTCCTTGCAGCTAGGACAGAAAGAACTGCACTGGCTAGATCCCTGACACTGCAAGAGCAACCGTGAAGATGAGACTGAGGAGGTGTTCTGGTAAGCAGGGAGCAGAGGACACAGGTGTTGATATGATACAAGGTATCCTGGTGGTACCTCAGCCTCTTCTCCTTGCATTCCAAACTGTGGCACTTAAATGCCAGAAATCAGCCATCTAAATGTTTTGCAGGGGAGAGGAGCACAGAGGCCACCTTTGTCTTTGCTTCTTCTGTCCTTCATAGGATAACCATAGGCCTCCAAGTACCTCCAAGAGGGTTGTGGGAATCTATATTGGACTGTATTTTAATCTAGTAATTAATGATCTTTACATAATTTTTCATATCACCATGAACTCAGTATCTATGTCTTTCTGAGATCTTAAACAACCACATGAAAGAATATCCAATGCAAATTTGAAAAACAACAACTGCTGCACATGTTGTACAGGAAGAAAGTCCATCTCAAATATAATATTATTTTAGTATATAGAACTGTAAAGAAGAAAAGGTAAGCAAAAAGGTCGTCTTCCCCAACCCACCTGGGAGTCCTGTCTCCCTGTCCCTCCCTCCTGACTCCTAGCAACCAGCTTTCTGTTCTGGGCTAGACAGAGCCCTAAACCAGTGCACTTCCATTGGAGGCTGGAATGCACTGCACCATATTTCGGTGTCTTTCTTCTTCGTGTCTACAGATACTACTACCAGGCTCATTCTTTGTACACTGTCCAAAGAGCCTTGGAAATTATTATTATTATTATTATTATTATTATTATTATTATAACATTTCTATGCCGCCCCTTGCCGAAACCTCGGGGAGGCTTACGACATGGTAAAATACATTGAAATACAATAGTACATAATAAATTGAACAGTATGGAAATAAAATTAATAATGTATAATAAGAATACAAAAGAAAATAATACAATTTTATATTTTTAAACGAAAGCTACTATCTGCTCATTTCCCAGTATGGATTTTCAATATTCTTTCACACTACTGCAAAGACATTTTTTGTTTACCTTGCATTCATTTCTTGGCATGAACGTATTTGTTCAGTCATGCAGCAGAGACTGAGAACCATGCAGTTTCTATGTTCTGTATCTTTGATGGATCCACCACTGTGGTCAAGGCTTCTCTTGCACTTAGATGTGGCATTTATATTGATTTCTTTCCATTTTTATTTGAAATAATGTTTCTTGTAGCACTTGCTTTTCCTTTGTAGTTGTTCACTGACTAAAAAAATACATAAGCACCATTGAAAATGTAAAAGAAAAGGTCTCCATAGCAACCTTTTCTAATGCTGTAATTTATGAATGTTCATCGACAAAGTTTACACAATCTGGTTCTGCCTACTGAGAACAGAGCATTAAGGTTGTGATCCCTGTACACACGTATCTGGGAGTAAGTCCTGCCAAACTCACTGGGGCTTACTTTTGGGAACACATGCACAGGATTTCAGTGTAGGTCCCAAAAGTTCCTTTAACTGGGCTTTACACACAAAGGTGTGTCAAGAAGAGCAAAATTTGTGAATATACTAATGTAATGCATTTTTAAATGTTTTCTGAAGTTTGTTGTGGTTGTTTGGAGATATTGGCTACACATTTCCTAAGGAAAGTCTTCCAGTTCCTTTAGTATTTTAAATTGATTGAATTTTTAGCATCTCCAAGAAATAGGTTTTGGAGAAGTCAAATATCAACTTAGACTGTAGTTTCAATAGATGTATTTATTTCTTTTCACTGTGTTTAATCCCACATTTCTATCTATAAAATAATGAGCATGGCCAGCAAATGCACAAAAATCCTCAGTAAATCAGTGTTCATTCAAAATTAAACTAAAACAAGATGGAAACACATCAGCTGTTGTCAATAATCTATTTGAGACAATAATGCCGCAGAATGTCTACTGCAGAAGGTAACTACTGATGAAAGGGAAGGTCAAGTGAACTTCTTTCAGCAGTTTTTCAGCTTTCTTAGGGCCATCACAGAAAAGGCCATCTTGTGATCCTATTTGTCATAGTTCAGATTTTCAGATAGCAGGCTGAAGTGGAACAGGACTTCAGAAAGTGATTTCAAGGGTGGGTATAATGCATACAGATGGGCCGGACAGCATACCCTTTCACAAGTTAGAGAGTGTTGAACTGAACCAGAAACAAATTGATAGGCAGCTCAGATTGTATCATATGCAATAAAATAACATCAAATATTAAGGGTCGGGATATTTTAGTGATCTTTTGACCAACAGAATGCCTGTGACCTCTGAGGTGAAACAAGATTGCCTGAACATGTCCTCACTTAGGTGTTTTTTGTTTGTTTGTTGTTTCCTTAAAAGGATGACATTCCAGAAGAATTTGATGGAAGTAATATTTCTACCCTGTCTAGCCTACTCTACACCAATTATATTTTTCTTTCTTATTGTGTTGTGTAGTCAGAATCCTGAGCACCATATGCAAAAAAGCTTTCCCTTAGTATCATTTTATAGTCTCATTGATTATAAATTGAGTATAAACTGAAATTGTCATTTTTTGACATAAACCCATCAAATGCAGATGTCTTCTAATCACATAAGATTGTACAAGTAAAGTCATATCATTACTTAGGAACTGTGTTCCTCAGCTGTGCTTAAGCCATGCTAAAGGCAAAAAACAGTCTCTAATGTTTGGAAATTTTAGTAATTTGGATTAGAGCACATATAATTCCAACATCCCTAACGTCCTTTGGTGTGTATTTACTAATATCTTTATTCCAAGACTCAGGATTAGATCAGTCTAATTGTTCTAGTTTCTCTTCTGGAATCAAATCCAGTATAAAACACCCAACTTTCAGTGCTTTCCTCCAAGTTGTTGTTGTTCTTTCTCAGGAACTCCATCAAAAGAACAAAGGCCTTAATTTGGTGAGAGATCAGTCTGGTAATTTCAACCCAAAGAAGAACACTCTTGTTTATTTAGAAAGAAGCCAATTTTGTTATTTGACATATGCAAGGAACATAACATTGTGATCAACAACATAAAAAGCAAAATGTTCCTATCTTATGACTTAGATGATGTAATAGAATTTACAGTGTGCTTGGTTACTGGAAATCCATAAATTGCTGGGAATCCAACATTCTTTGTGGCTCCCAGTGTTTTCCTTTACAGTCAAATTCATGTTTATACTTGATAAAAATATTGGAGGGAGAGTTCGGATTTAGAATTGCCTAATTTAAGTTACCGCATTGTGTAATCATGAAGTGTATAAGCAGTGGCCATTGTTGCCATGTTAAAGTGTCTTGCCTCTTTATTTCAAGGTTCATAAATGAGGAAGAAGAGATAGCTCATCCTATAGTTGAACAGTTAATAACAGTCAATAATTGCATGCCACTTGGGCATTCATTAATGAAGACTCTTAGGCCAACAGAGTTATAAAATTAACGAAGTACTCTAATTCAGATGACTTAACACAGTATGTTTCTAATTCTACCTGACCAACATGCTTTCACACCCTTGTCGTCAGTCTTTTGGGCAGGTTACTTGTCTTTTTCCATACTTCTTATGGCAGTCATTTTGTGGTGGTTCACAGGACAGTTTCTGAAATTTCCAGATGTGCCCACAGTGCAGAAACGTTTGCCTGCCTCTGTTCTACACTATTGCCAAACCACTTTTCAGAGATTTATACTGGTGTACTAAATGTGAGTTAATTCATAAATTGTACATGCAATGAAGCCATTATGCATTCAGTAAATATTTTGTGAAACATGTTGTGAGGGTCCATCCTGTGTGATGTTATTTTCCCCCAAATGGTGCTCCCTGATGAATATGTAATGCCTACTTACCAGCTACCAGCCCAGATAATAATGTGTTTTGTTTATCTCTCATTTCAGCTGTTTGAGTTCATGAACTTTTTGGCTGAGAATGTTATCTTCTGTTATATGGGATTAGCGCTGTTCACATTCCAAAATCACATCTTCAATGCATTATTTATATTTGGAGCAATTGTATCCTTTTAAAAAGTGACTGCAAATACATGGTGTGGAAAACATATTCTATAAGGATCAGTGTATTTATTTCTAAGGTGTACAGTTAATTTAGTAATTGTAGATGTAAACTAGGATCCAGAAGTCTTCTTGTGCAAGTGGAAAGGAGATTGTACAAGAATACAAAAACACATAAGCCCTTATTATGCAAGAACTAGGAAGTGGGGCTGTCCTCCTGTCCTAGCCCTGGCATTGGGCATTTTTCCTGTTCACATGTAGGCTTCTACATGATTGGGACACCTAATTTCACCAGTGTCCAAAACTGTATGGAAGTGTCCATCTGAGCAGCATTTTCTTCACTATAATTGAGCACTATAGTACACACACCATAACATGTCCAAATACATAGAATGAAGTCACAATGGAAGCCTGCAACCAGCATGATATCTGTATAGTGTACAGTTAAGAGGTGTAATTTTCTTTCTCTTTTTTGTCTAAAATGTTCTTATTTTACCTAAAGCAACTTTGGCATTAGATGCACAGACAGATAATGAGAACACCAACACAATTTTCTGAGCTCTACAAAAATAATCGAAAGCTGGGGGAGGTGGAGGGAAGACAGTGAAGTGGAGAATACTAGACAGAGACAATATGAATTGTGAGGAAATGAGACAGTAATCATGCCCCAAAATACATTTATCCTTCCTGAATAACTGTTTGAAGAAATAATACTGTTGGTGTCTGAACCATTTCTAGCAAAGGGTTTCTCTGCAAAATTGAGGGAGCTGCTGCCTTTGATAAAGGTAGAACACGAATTCAGAGTAGCTGAAATAGGAGTGTTCAAGAGAAGATGGAAAGAACCCCAGGGAGAGAAGTGGCAGTGAGTAACCAATGTAAGCATTCATTATGTTTCTGTTCCATCATCTCATAAACTGGTGATTCTTCTGTTTATTTTAGAGCCTGCACTGGACACACTCTAGTTCTGTTGTTGCATTCCTTGTTTTCCTCAGCTTCTTATTCCAAATGATGTAGGTGGCAATTTTCATAGCAAGAGCCTGTAATATATACCCGATTTCTTTCATTCTCAACTTGGGCCGAAAACAAAAGATTCCCAGGAATTTTCAACATATGATGATGTTCTCAGGTAAGTTAATTTTTCCTGGCAACATAATAAGCTCCTTAAAAAGAACATCTCTCTGGTGGTCAGCTTCCAAGTGCAAGTGCTCATTGCAACAATCCCCTTAGCCTCACCCACAAGGGGAGCCCAAAATTACAGGCAGATCTTCTGCTCTATATCAATAGATTGGTCCTAGTGGTTTTCAAACACTACAAGCAGTCCATTGTATAACTCTATTGAGTCTTAATTGCCCATTCCACAACAAGACAACCCAAAATACTCCACATTCCAACAAGGACGAATACACTGTTGTTGAGAAAATTCACTTCCTGGCAACTACTGTGAAGACCACAGCTAAGCTGAAATGGAACAGGAAATTCTGAGGTGGGTGGCAGATGACATCAGCATCATGGCTATTGGAAAAAAAATGCTAGACCTGCAGACCTTGTACTCCACTACGCTAGTGTGAAAGAGAAACATTCACAAATACAATCTTCTCTCCAGGAAAAGGGGAGGGAAGAATACATTATGAGACAATCCAAGAGAGCTGCTCTGTGATCCACAGCATTCCCCAGAAAGATTGATTGTAATTTCAGAGACATTGCCTCTGTCCTCTGATGAAGTTCAATAATGATTTTAATCATGTTAATTACTAAGGTGCAGCCTGCCTGTTATGAAAGTTTATGAAGTGGACTTGAAAGCAGCAGCTCAGCTGGGGAAATGAATCCAACATAGCTTCATCAGAATGCAGAATGGCTCCTTTATTTCTATCCCATTGGAAGCAGGTTCACCCATTTTGGAGTATGTCCTCTCTCAGTTTAGAATAATGGTAGGGATAAATTATGGCTTATAAGTAGGGATGTGCAGATTTTGGTTTAGTCATGGATTGTCCAGCTTCTGTCATTCCATTGTCCTGTCTCTGACAGAGGCAGATTCTCTCCTGCCATGGCTCAACTTTTGAAAAGTATGAAAAAATATTTGCAGCAATTTACCTAACTTTTGTTGGTATGAAATATTTTCCATATTTTTCTCAGTTCAGGGTACAATCAGTGAGCAGAGTACAAAAGGAAACATGTGTATTAGAATATTTTGGGATAACCTTGGGGCAACTATATTTATCTACAGTTCCAGAAAATTAAAAAAATAAAAAGTAAAAATATCTGTATGACTTGGAAGATGGTGGCCTGCTATGGAATCTATTGTGCTAAATTCATAGAAATCCAAAGTCATTTGGATCATTCTCGGATTTCTCTGACATCCCTTCTTATAGGAAGACATGTCTTGGGTGGAAACGGCCTTGTAATGGTGCAGAAGTAAGCATGCATCTCCCCTTTCCACCCCACTTTAACATAATATGCTATGTGAGTGCTTTGTCCATCAACCACTGCCCAGTTTGTGTAATTTCTCATCTATTTAAAAAAGAGCAAAACCGTATGAGTCTCTGTTTACAGCATTGGTGCTACATATTACTAGGGCTGGCCCTACAAATAGGAAGACTGATGCAACTACTTCAGGTGACAGAAGCTGGGGCAGCGGCAGCCCCATCTGCTGCTCCTGAGCCAGCCCACCCATCCACCCCTTTGCTGTTCCCTTCTGTGGGAAGAGCTGCATTTGCCACACAATGTGTTCTGCATCCCCAAAGAAGGCCTGCTGTTCTCAAGTATTAGATGCTTGCTCATCAGCTGTACTGGAGATTCAGCTGTTAGCTCCGGTGTCAGTGGGACAATTTATCCACTCAGGATTTTAGTCCGAACTTCAAAGGAATTACTCGTGCTGCTATTTCTGGGGATAGGGTTCATCACCATGGATAGCTCCTTTCAAGTTCTGACTGAAACAAGAGTGGAAAAACCTCCCTGTTGACACGGGGGCCACTGGCCTCCACAGAATGGTAGTGGAGTCGCTTATTGTCCCTCACCTCTAGCATCAAAATGCTTTTGATGGCCCTGTAGTCTGGAATTGTATTAGAATGCTCCCCCAGGGAGGCTTATCTGGCTCCTTTGTTGTCGTCTTCCTGGTACTGGCTACAGCCGCTCTTGCTCTTTTTGTGGATGTCATTTTTATGCAGCCCGGAGCTTTGTGCAGTGAGAACTGCAAGATTAATCAAGGGTTTGGATTTCCTTGGAATAACATGCTGGAGGCATACAAGAGGGGCTCTTGCATCCCCCTAAAGATGCTGTGAGAAATCCAGCATCATCTCTCACTACCCCCTCTACTTGGTTACAGCTAACTGCATTTTCACAGACTGAATTAGCATGTTCCTTAAGGGAAGGAGTGAAAGTGAGGGAAAGATGTTCGCTGACTATTAAGAGTCACTGGTCAAACTAATGCAATGGGGATCTGTCAGGATTGACTTATTAGCTTTAGCCAATCAATGCCTTCATCTTAAAATCAGATTGGTTCCAGACATGCCTTCACTTTGCCGCATTCACAGAAATTTACAAGAGCATCCTGATAATTATCCCTTTCACTTGTAACCCTCCAGTGTTTCCTCACTGTTTTTCCATCTTTTTTCTTATTGCAGAAAAACTGCAGAAAGAAAACACAAAATACTCTTGTAATAGTACCATTCCATCTGGAAGGACCATCACAGACACTGGGGTATAAGTAAAGGTCCCTGAAAAGCCATCTTATCGACTTCCCATTACATATTTATGTTGATGATACATTGAAAAGTACAAGAAGCTGTTTGGGTGGGGATAGGAAGTAAATTACCCTTAGGCCTGTATGCAGAGAAGTAATGGCAAAAGTAGAAGGTGACAAGGTGCTTCACACCAAGTCTGAAAGGGGACTTGGGACTATTGAGATCAGGAAGGGGATAGGGCAGAGACCTTCTGATGATGCACTTTGGCAAGTGCACCTTTGGATCCAAGCCTTAGGAGATGAAATGAAATGGAGGAGAATGTAACTTCTACAAGTTCCTGAAGTTTCTCACTGCTTAGTTAAGTGCCTAAATCAAGCCAGAAAGAAAAGCCTGGAATTATACCAGACAATTGACAAGGCCTATGTTATGAATGCAATATAAATTTCTGAAACATTTGGGTTGGTTGTTTTTAAAGAAAGCAACATCATACAGCTATAATGCCTAAATGTTCGTTTTAGAGAGTTAAAGTTGTAGGCCCTTTTTCTGTCTAAATTTGCATAAGATTGCATCCTGAATTATTGATTTGGTACAAGTAAGGAAATACTTTGGCTCTAATGAACTAATGCAGAGCAGATGCTTCACTCAAGCTCCACTTTTCATTCATTGCCATAAGCCCTCCTCCACTCCCTGCATAACCAATATGAACAATTCCTTCACAGCACATACACCCAGCAAGCTTTGCCTCAGATCTCTCAGAGAAAATGGAATATGCCACCAGGATCTCATGCATCTGCATACTCCTCACATCCATTTTTGTTTCCTCCCTAAAAGTTCAATTTGTGGTAGCTATCAATGGCATCTTTTATTTTTTAACACTGCGAGAAGTCCATATATTTCCTTTAGAATCCCAAGCATACATGCAAAAGGTAATCTAGTGCAGGGATGGACAGACCTCAGCCTTGCGGGTCTCCCTCCCACACCTCCTCCCGCCTTGTCAGTCCAGTAGTCCTAGGCACAAAATGATGGCTCTGACACAAGAGTCAGTTCAAGAGTCAGAAGAATCACCTCTACCCTAACAGCCATACAGTGAGGTCTATACAAATATCCATGTGAGTTATCATAGATCAGGGATTCTAACACATCCTGCCAATAAAAACCTGGTCAGTCACCAATTATACTTCTATTCTGTAGATGGGGAACACTGAGACTAAGAGATAAGCAAAGAGAGCAAGGCATGGCTGAGCAGGGATGCACAAAAATTTTGGTTTGTTCACAAAGCATACAAACATGTCCCCCTGGCAATCCCAAATTTCAAACTTTTTTTCAACACATTTGCAAATTTGCAATCACACCTGCTGGATCATAGTCAAGAGGGCAGTGTAAGCAACAGTGTATGTTTGTTTGGATTTCCTGAGCTCTTTTTCCTGTGTCCTGGATGTTCTGTGGCTCCTTAGAAAGTACCATAACAAAATGATTGCTCTTTCAGGAAGGTGTGTTGGGACTTATTTGTGGGAAGTGAGAATGCAAGGAGTGAAAAAACACAGGTATCCTGATAAGGACAGGGATTCAGAACCAGTAACATTCAGAGTAGCATGGGCAATTATGTTTTGCTTTCCAAAGAAACTGCAATCCCCCTACAGAACTGTCTCCCTCCTTTGGGCACAAAAATAATCAGGCAAACATTCTCTGAACTTAAAATGAATGACAAAGTTAATAAAATTAATGTTTCTTCAACTGCCGAACAGAGACTGCCAGACAGAATTGTGGAGCTGTTGAAGGAGTGCTGTGTGTTAACTAGCCAGACAGTCCAAACTGGCTTGAGTATTTGGATTTCATTGTTAGGATGCTGGTTTATTTGGATTACAAGCTCCAATGCAGCCTTATACCTCCAATAACACAACCTAAGGAGGAGCAGAGCATGCCTAATTATGTGTTGCTGAATAGTTTAGAGAGAGCTAAAGAAGCAAGAATGTCTGCTCATGCAAACAGCTTAGCGCTGAGCTCTTGTGAAGTTGTGTTTTGCCTTTTTTCCTATAGGGCATCTTTTGAGCTAGGTACCATGCAAAACTATTAATAGATCCCATTGCTGGAGACATAGATCCAAAATCAATCCAAGGTCTGATTAGCAATGGATATTGTAAGAGAATTCTCCTTTTAATAGCCACAGAATCCCAGCTCTAATCATGGAAAGGAAGACCCAACTAGTTCATTTCAAAGATGCAGTCATTAAACCTCTACTTGCCTCAAAAAGAGAAAATAACCTAACATTTTCCACCTAACCCAACATTTTCTCAGGTGCTAAAGAAGGCAGAACCCAGTGTAGAAAATCATTGGTGATACCCAAAGGAGGCATGCAAACTATACAGAAACAACCCAAGAAACCAAAACTAGCCATGAGTACATGGAGCAAGGAAATCCAGGAGAACCGTGCTTCAGATTTGTTTGA